AGTTTACAAAAAATAAATTGCTTGCCTTCTGCATATTCACCTAGGCATCATGCCTTAGGATACTGTTTAATAGAAAGCCTTTAATTGTGTTTGAGTCGTGCTGCTTATGTGTCTTGTTTGAGGAGGAAACTTTGAGCCTCTAATTGCTCCCTTTATCTTATGTGCTAAAAGTCCTAATTGTTTTGCTTGTCGCCTTAGTATTTTTACCTTTAAACCTAGGGGTCTGTCTAGAACCACTTATAGGTAGAGGACCTAAATCCCTCCAGGACCATTAAGAAGGGACGGATAGCAGCACACAATAGATATCGCTGGCCAACACTCGCTTTGCATGACCACTAAGGGGATGGGAAGGGTAGATATGGATATGATGACCGGCGTGCTAATGTCACGCGTAGCCCCTTTCTAAGGAGTGATTACCGGAAATTGTACTGATGTGATCCTATAGGCTAACCAACCTAGGACCCCTCTCCCAAATTCTCTTTACTTGAAGCTTTACTTTCCTGCACACAACTTGTTTAAACTCTTGTTTTTTTTATTTGAATTATACAATGCCCAACATGCTCTATTTGCAATTATTTGCTTCAATTGATTATTAATGGACTAACTCGTAGGTATAAGTTCATCCGGGACCCACAGTTGTGGACCAAGAGATGTGCCTAACATCTTTCCCTCGAGGTTATTTCGAGTCCTTACCCTAATCTCTGGTAATGCAAACCAATCTAAGAGTTTATTGCTCTAGGTGCCCAAATGCACCATAATCCGTTAGGTGGCGAAGCTTCAAATACTCAATTCCCAAAAGGAAATGAGTTATCACCCTCCATGGAATGTCGAAACCCAGACCTCCCCCCTACGAGGGAGGGAAAAAATGGGGCGCGACACCTATTTAGTATGTATTGCTTGGAAAAAGGGTTCATATTTAGGTAGTTGTTGAACAACTAAAGGTGAGGAATGACCATCACTCCTAACGTATGTGAGTAATCAATACCGAGGATTTAAAGGTGAGATTAGGAATAACAAAATCTTGATACAATCTTAGTGAGCGGTGAATTAGTATCAATTAGCGTAGTTCAGAAGAATATGTCTAGTAAATTGTAGTAGTTGCTTGGAAGAGAATTACAACACCCGAAGTACTCACGATCAATAGAGAATACTTATGCGAAATTATAGAAAACATAGTGGGAAGGATTCTGTCAAGTGAGAAAATCATAACTCTAGACCTCCTTAGTCTTGTCTCAAATTTCATCCTTGTTAGTGATAATTTTACTGCTTTATATAGTTGTTAGTTAATTATTTAGAAATAAACATTATAATCTTTACAACAACAACAACAACAAACCCAGTTTGATCCCAACAGGTGGGGTCTGGGGAGGGTAGTCTGTACGCAAACCTTACCCCTACCTAATGCAGGTAGAGAGACTATTTCCAATAGACCCTTGGCTCAGGAAGGGCAAGAAGAAGAAGAGGAAAGCAAGGAATTGTGTTTGGACTTGTGTTTCTAATTATAATTATAATCTTTATAATTAGAAAATTGTTTGGACTTGTGTTTAAGCAATATTGAACAACTGTAGTTAAGGCTTAGTTCTCTGTGAGATTCGACTCCGCACTTGTAAACTAGATTATATTTTCAACGACCGTTTAATCTTTTTTATAACGCATAATTGGGCGTGATCAACAACTAAGAAGGGGCTGAGGTAGGGGAAAAAGGGAAATTGTTTTATTGATGATCAGATCTTAATTCTTACATTCCTATCACAAACTTACTAATCTTTTGATTTCCATTGCTAATTCTTTTGCAATTTTATCGTTCCATTTTCATGCAACATTTTCGGAAAGAAACTATGTAAATTATCTAAGTAGACTATCATCCAATCCTCAAAATTTTAATGAATACTTAATAAATTCTGTGTTCCCAGATGGGAGACTATTTATGATAAGGTTGTTAGGATTACAGATATGATATAAATACTCATGTATACGTGTGCGCATGCATGTGTTTTTTTACATAGATGAAAACCCTCGTTTATCTAAGCTAATAATTAAGCCATATGGTATAAGACTAAAAGGAAAATACGAATGACCTAAACAATACTCCCTCCGGTCCAAAATAAGTGATTTTTTTGATGTTTTCAGACAGATTAAAAAATCCACCTTTTAGCATTAATTAGCAATAAAATTGACCATATTAACCTTTATTATCTCACATAAATACTCCTAACACATATTCCAACACTATTTATTCCAAGGACAATATAGGAAAAAAATAATTAATTCATTCATAAAATCTGAAAAAATCACTTATTTTGGACCACAAGAAAAATGCCAAAAAATCACTTATTTTGGACCGAAGGGAATATTTAAAAAAATGAATTTTTTTTCCCAGAAAATTATAAGAAAACTAATTATGTTTAACATGGTGTTGTAAACATGTTACTTCTTCTTTATCGATTCAATAACTAAACCCTTTTCATTTATTTTTCGTATTATTGTTGGTTCTTCTCATATTTTTTATAGTCATATTGTCAGAGGCGGATTTGTAGGCATTTACACGAGCACGTGAACTCATGGTCTTTCCGTCAAACTAGATATTTTATATACATATTTTTAGAATTGGTCTAGTATTATCGGTTGGCACCCATGTTCCAAAGAGGCTAATGGTGCACTTGGTTAAATGTTGAGTTATTTACCTAGAGGATTAGAGATTAAATCCCACTTAATACTTTTTTTTTTCTCCTTTTAAGTGGTGCACCCATGTTATTAAAATCCTAGATTCGCCTCTGCATATTGTTATCAATTAATTTTCTCCTTGCTTAATTTATGCTTTCTCGCTTTTACTTTTCTCTTTTGGGTTTTCTCCGGTGTTGCTTTATTGTTTATTAGAAATCACAATTTGGGGTGTATTAGTTAGTTTCAAATTATTTTGATTATAATTTATCGCTAGAGATTTTAGGTACATATTAGTAATTGTGCCTAATTTGCATAAGCATCATGTCTCTTTGATGAATTTTGTCTTTATTATCAACTACTTAGTGCAAAAAAAAAAAATGATCGTATGAAAAATTAACGTATAAAAAAAGCACTTAAGGTTGTCTTTGACCTTTTGGGGTTGTAGAAGAAAAATCTCTAGGTGTGATTGTGCAAAACTCTCGTGAAGAAAGTTAATTGGAGTATTCCGATTAATATGGTTTTTGAGCTTGATCTTGAATTTTGTTAGTGCAGCAACATGACTTTTTAGGTATTGCTTAATGCTTTGATATCCGGATGTTGAATTAAAATTTTGTGCTCCTTTAAAATCTATCACGATAAGATGAATTAGGGTAATTATTTTGGATAGAGATCAGGACGAGTTAACTAGAATTAGTGACTTTGTGAAACCTATATCATTTGAAAACTTTTATGAGCATTTTGAGCTCTCCTTATCATCAAAACCCTCGGGCCTAGCTCAAGTGATAAAGGGTGGTGGATTTGTGTCTTAGGTCACAGCTTCAAGTCCTCACATTATGCAAAGCAAAGCTTGGTATTTAAGTGGAGAAGGGTAGAGGGGCGGGCCGATTATCCACCGAATTTCGAAGGCCGCAATTGATCCAAAGGATCAGCCCCAGACGGATTTCTCGGTCATAAAAAAAAAACATCACAAAGAGGTTGATCATCACACTGCGTGAAGAGACTAAATTGTCCTGGACGTCAATTTACTTATATTAAATCTTCAAGAATTGTTTAATTAGTCCGTTAGAAAAATGTCTGTGAAAAAATTATGATGTTTTCATATCTAATGCTTCTCCGGTTATCAGTTGTTAGGAATTCTGAGGAGCCACATGTTATCAGATTTTTCAATTAAAAGTTTATAACTTGGTGGCAATTCTAGGTCCCTTGAACGGGCATTTGTAGGGGTATAATATTACTATTTTGACTAATTTTAACCTTTTGCTTTATTTTTATCTTAAAAATAAAAATTATAAAAATATTTTCCTTTATTTTAGTTAATTGATATTTTATCGAGTTACTTTTAATTTATCTTACTTTCCATGAATTTGTAAGATATTAATAGTCTTGACATTTTGTTTTCAAAAGATAAAATGAAAAGTTTCAAAATATTCTTACTTAGTTTAGAGTGATTTTTAAGTTGTAGGCTTTTAGTAAATGTTGAGTTAAATTTCTTTAATATAATATCTTTATTTATCTTTTTAATATTTTATGTTATTCCTAGATAACCTAATATTTTGTGAAGCTATTTTTTTTATTTCATTTTTAGAAAAAAAAAATGAAAAAAAGAGAGGAAGATAACAGAAAAGAAAAAATGGAAAAAAGCAAAAGGAAAATGTATCAGGACAAGAAACGAAGGAAACGTTCACCTCTTTTTCATTTTGTTATGATTTCTCATGGACATTTCTTTTATTTATTGCTTGAGAAAAGAAAAGTTCATTTATAAGAAGAAAAAAAATTCCACTCTCTTAAATGTACCAGCCCAACCCCCCTCCCCCGTCATGTCAAAAGTGTTTAAAGTGTGCTTAATACCTCAAAATATGTTGACAGCTTCAATTCGCTTGTGGGCGCTTCAATGTCACATCAAGACTCTAAGTCATTTTTTTTCTTTCTAATGAGTGTAATCCTGAAAATACGATACTAAATAATTAATATTTTACTTTTATCATAATTTTTTTTAGTTTCTTTATTCATATAATTGTTATCCATACTTATAATTATTAATTATTTTTATTTTTTCTTCGATTGCACCCCAACGGACCTTAGAGTTATTTTGATCCTTTTTTCCTTCGATAACACTAACCCTCAACCTTAACAAACTCCAACTGCACCCCATTTTTTCACGCCAACACACACACACACACAAAATTAATTCATTATTTCAATTCTCTTATCTGGACATAGGAGAGTCAAACGGGGTCCACACGTTTTGAATCCCTTCTTTTCTTTTTTGCCCAAGCATAATTTTGGACCGGAGAATTTATTTTGTATATAAATAAATATATATAATATAGAGGGGGAGGGGGCAGAGAGCAAAAACAGAGGGCAACGAAAGAAAATTAGGGGAAAGGTCCGATTTCGCACCCGCAGCTCGAGGTCCGCATTCCAGTCGAGGTTCGTCGAGGTATTTTTCCGGGTTTTCGGTTCCAGGCTTCTTAGATCTTTGGCATAAAGGTCCATTTCTTAATTTGTTCTTGATTAATACTGTGAATTTTGATGTCTTTGTGCAATTGTATGTGAATGAATGAAGTTCTGCCTCTATGAATATGTTGCCGTTTTTTAATTTTATAACCTTTATGCTTAGATAAAAGTTGTGGTTTAATGTAACCTGTTGCGTTGGTTAATTAGGAAAAGACGACAACAATAACAACAACAACATACCCGCTATAATCCTAGATGTGAGGTCTGGGAGGGTAACGTTTATGCAGACCTTACCCTACCCCCTATCCAGGAGGTAGAGAGGTTGTTTACGATAGACCTTCGTCTCAAGAAAGTGTGGAGAGGAAGAGACGAGAGAAGAAGAAGAAATAGGGGAAGAAAGAAACAAGAAGGAGACAAAGGGCGATCAGGCAAAGGGGGGAAAATAGTAGCATCAAATAGTATCAATCAGGGAGCAATAATTCTAGTAAAAGTCGAGAAAAAAAAAGGTAGCATCAAATAGTAACAATTAGGGAGCAGCAATTTCCAGTAGCAATTCACAAAAATACTGAACTTGCTGCTAAGTACTAGATATAATAACAAACAAGAAGAAAGTATCTTTCAACCGACAACAAGAATATTCTAGTACTATTGGTAACCTTAGGAGAAACTCACAACTACCAGTCAACCCACCACCTTAATCGTCCACCTTCACACCTTCCTATCGCTAGTCATGTCCTTGATTAGGTGAAGCACTGACATGTCGTGCCTAATCACCTCTCCCCAATACTTCTTTGGCCTACCCCTACCCTTCCTCAAGCCCGCCATAGTCCACCTCTCACACTTCCTGGCTTGGCCATCTATGTCTCTCCTCCTCACATGCCCAAACCATCGCAACCTCGATTCCCGCAACTTGTCTTCCATGGCTGCTTCTCCTACCCTGTCCCTAATAACTTCATTCCTAGTTAGGAAAAGAATTAGAAGCAAATAGTGAGTTGGGCTCGGGTTAATAAAATTTGAAAAGGTGTTCTGTCATTGACCTTTTGGTATTCATCTGTGCCTTATTAATCACCTGATTTTTGTGACAGCACACGCCTTAACAACACAAAATTTGATTATTAAAGGAATTTGATGCAGGTGACAGTTATATAGAGTTGTTGGTGGGGCTGTCAAAATATATTGGCAGCCCTATTTCCTCCCAGAAAAACATAAGACCAACTTAAATAAAAGAGGTATCATGTCTACCATTCAACTTTCTTTTGAATTTTGTTGATTGAAAAAACCATTTCTTATTTTTGGGCCATGGTTTAGTGTCTTGCAGGAAAATTATTGTTGTTTGTATGAGGGTTGTCTGATATTGGTATGCAAATTTGGGAAGGCTGTATATCATCATGGCTTCGTTTTCTGGAATCCTCCAAAGACCGATAGTTGCAGCATCTGCAGTCGCTATAACTTCTGTATCTACTGATCTTCATGAAAAATTTTGGCCCTCAAAATCAATAGAGAATTCTTCTTCTGAAGCATTGCAAGAAAAGAAAACATCATGGGTGTCTCAGATATCCGTATCTAAGCTTGCCAATTTGTCCTTTGTCAACAGAATACGCGTTCCTGTGCCTAACATAAGTGTTCCAAGTCCCAGCGCCAGTTACAGTTCTAGTTCTGTTTCAAATCTTTCGTGTTCTTCCATAGGAATTTCTTCTGTGTTGGTCAATTTTTATCAATTAGCAGCATTGACTAAGTCTGCAAATCCATCAACATATACTTCTACAGTTCCTTCTTCGCCTTCAGAGGTGTTGTATAAATGGCATTTACCGGAGCCAAATGTTGTTGATATATCAGGGAATTATGATTGTTCATCAGTAAAGTCTAGGACTGTGGTAGTATTGTTGGGATGGTTAGGTGCAAAACAGAAGCATCTAAAGAGATATGCAGACTGGTATTCCTCAAGAGGATATCATGTCATTACATTTACTTTCCCAATGTCTGAGATTCTTAGCTATCAAGTCGGGGGAAAGGCAGAGCAGGATATAGAACTGCTTGTGAACCATCTTGCTGATTGGTTGGAAGAAGAGCATGGAAAGAACTTGGTCTTCCACACTTTCAGTAACACAGGATGGTTAACGTGAGTACTGTTTGATAATAATCGACTTAGAAACAAAAGTATATGTGTTTTTCTTAAAACTTGTCTGTTAATTACTGATTGAGTTATTTTATTCTTGGCTTTATAGTTATGGTGTCATTTTGGAGAAGTTTCAAAAACAAGATCCTGCTTTAATGACAAGGATCAAAGGTTGTATTGTTGATTCTGCTCCTGTAGCTGCTCCAGATCCACAGGTATTGCTGTCTCTGAAATTGCCATCATATGATTTCTTTTTCATGCAAGTGCTAGAAAGAGTCTTTCTACATGTGTAGTTTAATTATGAAGTTTAAAATAATTGTTAAAAACCGTATTTTTCTATTGAAATCCAATTATATCATCCTTTTATCAGATAAGTATTACAAGTGCCGTATACATATTACGGTCTAGCTATTCTGAAGATTGCTTAATTTGTACTGTAATCAGGACCGATTGTTCTCTTAATTTAATCTTGTTGCTTTCTTCTGTCTTAGGCCTTAAAACTATGTTGGTTGCTTGGCAAAAGATATTCTTAAACTTGATAATGTGGAAGTTATTTAGAAATTTCATCTTTCTATGCCCTCTCATTCTTGCTTTGGTCTTTTTCACCCCTTCGCGGCTGGGGGTCAGCTGTGGAGTTTCGAGGGAGGGGAGGTGGTACTTGTGTAGTATTTAATAAATGTTAAATCATATTTTGGGCGCATGGAGCTTTGATTTGATAAGTTGAAATTAACACAAGCAAGTTCTCATTTTTTGTGTCAAGGTATGGGCTTCTGGATTCTCTGCTGCCTTTTTGAAGAAGAATAGTGTTGCAACCAAACGCATCATGACTATAAACAACAAAGATGCGGATGTGACAATAGAAACCAAAACTTCTTCGGATGCTACGCCTGCAGTAACTGAAGCAGCTTTGCTAGTAGTACTGGAGAAGTTCTTTGAGGTGGTTTTGAACCTTCCCGCCGTAAATAGGTAAGGACATCTCTTGAAATAATTTCTGTTTCTATAAGTGCCTTTTTCTGCGAGTGGTTGTGATAAAATATTTTTAAGCCTGCAGTATTTAATAGAAGTACCAAAATTGTATCTACTTTTCGTCTTTGTACTCACCTATGAAGTAGACCTTGTCGATGTCATGTCCACTTTCCAATGGATTGTAATTAGTATGTGTAGCAAGTACCAAAAATAGTTCCCTCTATGTACTTCCATTGATCTTTGGATGAAATTGCAGGAGACTTTCTGATGTTCTGGATCTATTGACATCCCGGCAACCAAGTTGCCCACAATTGTACATATACAGCAGTGCAGACAGAGTGATTCCTGCGATTTCTGTTGAGTCCTTTGTAGAGGAGCAACGAAGCATTGGTCGCAACGTTAGAGCTTGCAACTTCATTTCTACACCTCATGTTGATCATTTCAGAAATGATCCTGAATTATATACTTTACAGCTTACCCAATTTCTTGAGGACTCCGTTTTAAGCTCTTGCAAACAGTCTTCCTGAATAATTCCTAACCACATTCATTCTTTTAGCCTTTTCTTCAGTTTTTACCAAATACTTTGTAAAACTTCTGTTTTCCAATTTTAAAACAGATATACATTTACAATACATTGGTGTAGGTTTATTAAATATACAGTAAGAATAAGATTCTTTTATTTTATTTTAGTTGTATCTGTGGTTTCCCAGCAATAAAGTTGCTGCACTGTAACCCAATTTTATATATTTATTTAATTATGCTACATGTCATTCTTGATCATCTCTATCGATGTTTTATAATCAGCTTATATTTTATAAGACACTCCATGTTCTCTAATTTATTTGGTATAGTTTGACTTGGCTTAAAGTTCAAGAAGAAAGACAATAAAGACTTCCAAAACATAAGGTTTTAAACATGCTATAAGAACTTCTGATAGTGGTCTTAAATATGCTTTAGCAATTGTATGGCTATAAAAGTCTAAATGAGATATTTAAAACTAATGTTTCGAAGTACAAAAATGTACCAAACTTTTGCAACTGACAAACAAGGAAATAGCCAAACAAATTGAAAAAACAAAATGCTCTTTTCTGACTACTAGTTCCGACAAAAGGGTGTTAATGTGGGGGACCGGACCGGAAAAAATAGCATGGCCGGTCTTTGTACTGGTCTGGTATCCGGCTCAATTGGTCCCGGTCTTTGGGGGCTAAATTTGATCTGGAACAGGTCGGGCTTAAGAATACCCTGTCAAGTCGGGTTTGTAAATTTTATTTTTATTTTATAATTTAACAAATATAATATAATTTTTATTTGAGTGGTATGAAACTTCTAAATTATAATAAATAAATTAAACATCAAACTTAACGAATAAAATATTACAAACTTCAAGTTTTAAATAAGATTTTTAATTTATATTAAATAAACTTAAAACATAACCACTAAGAACAATATTTGAATAAAAATTTCAAAAGTTTAAAAGCATTATATTTTATTAAAATAATACCTTAAACATAAATGTTACGATCCAAAATCTCACCAAAGATCATGATGATACCTAACCTTTGATACTAGGTAAGCTAATCACACTAACAACATTCAATCATCATAACATAATATAATAAGATTAAGTTATCATAAATAGCGGATACAGTAACCAACATACGCCAAAATGGCGATACACAATTCCAACTCCCACAATCAGATAATATAGAGTCAAGAGTTCAAACCGAATACATAAGAAATCTCAAGAGTACAATACTATCTGAAATTTTTTCACTGACTATGTTCCACGTACACTTAGTTTATCTCTAACCTTATCAAAAAGTATACAAATTTGCTTACTCTAGCAAGAGGTCTCTAAAAATTTTAGAAGGAAAAGATTACCTTTTTGTTGTTCAAAATGGTATTGGAATGACAGCTCAATACAAGTCAAAAAATTTATAACTTCTTATTCTTTGCAATAGATGGTGTTTGTCTACTTTGAACATTAAAATTTGTAAGGTCCATGGTTCTTTAGTTAATTTTAACTTGATAAGTTTTCTTTTGTTTATTACCCTTTGGATTGTTGATTTATGCTAACTAGAAAAAAGATTTCATAGATCATTTTGAATTTGGTAACCTTGGCAATATCTACTGTGGAGACTTTATCATTTTGCTCTGTAGCTTTCAATTTGCGCAATTACATCCAAGTTGAAAAAGAGAACAGTGGAGTTGAAAGAGCATTGTTTTTTTTTACATATACAGTAAATAGAAGAGCAAAATTAGGCTCATATAGTATAAAAGACTTCTGGATTATGGTCATCAATTTTGGAATAAATAGCACGGTATAGCCAGTTTTCGGACTGGTCAATCAAAAATAGCCACCGTTTACGAAGTCAATGAAAAATAGCCACTATTTTGCTGCAACAGAGACCGGTCCCGTATAATATACTGGAGTTCGGGTGCATTTGTGTACGAACTCCAGCATATTATGCTGGACCGGTATACTTTGCTGACTCCAGTATAATATACGGGAGATTGGAGCTTCGGTGCTCCAAACTCCAGTATATTATATTGGACAATTATACTTGCTGGAACTCCAGTATAATATACTGGCGTATTTTCCGGGTTTTGAACAGTGTTTTCGCTCAGATTTTTCTTTACATGAAAAGTGGCTAAATTTCGATTACTTTTAAAATTGGGCTATTTTTGAACGACCAGTTGTAAATCTGGCTATTTTTAAATTTCTCCCAAAATTTTGATTTCAATATAAGAGTATTTTATCTACTATCGTCATCGCAATTAAAAAATAAAACTAGATACATGTTGGGCCCGAGCTGGCATGGGCCATTTCCACCTAGTCTAATAGAAATAGAGAAATTTTCATAAAACACTATTTTTTAGTGGTAATTAGCTATCTATAGATACCATTTGCTATATTATGGATTGTAGATACCTTTTCTGTTGTTATAAGATGTATTTAAGCTACTGTATTCATGAATACAGTAGCAAAAATAGGCGTGAATCAGGGAAGTGCAACTAATCAGTTGTTGTATTCGAGTGTATTCAACTGTTTTCATGGCGTGAAACATGTGATTATAGTTGGATAAATTATTGTATTCAACTGTATTCAAGGCGTAAAATAAGGGATTACACTATTTTTAAACGGAAAGTGAATCAATTAACATAATAGACTCATAATATAACTCAACAAATTCAATTATAACACACAAATTTTGTATTTTCAGTTATAAAAAAGATTCTCAACCGAAAAATACCCCAAAAACATAGCAATCTTTAGAGAAATTATATAATACATCTGAATACATAAATTATATTAATTTTAAAAAAACATATGAATAAATTCATGGCATATAGCGAGACAGTGAATACAATGAAATATATAGAATACAGAGGGATACATTGAAATACAATGAAAAAAAAAGACAGTGAATACAATGAAATACATGGAATACACCGAGATACATTGAATTACAATGAAAAAAAAAAGACAATGAATACAATGAAAGCCAGCTGTTTTAGCTGCCGGAGGGTTCTCGATCTATGAGCAAGGAAGGCTCTGAAGTGCGTTTGAATAATACGCGCTGCAACATCGCGTAGGGAATGACGAGAAAGATGAGAACTAGAAGAGATACGGTGGAGGGAAGATTCTAAGGCAGCGATCCGACGGAGAAGAGCAGTTAGGGAGTATGCTTGTTCCCTCACCGTTGCCTCTAAAACTTTCAGAGACAGCCCTACTTCACTTTCCCTTCAAAACAACTTCCTTCTTCGCTTTTTTCTCTCCGTCAACATCAGTCCTCAGAGCATCAGTTCCTTCTTCTTTCGCTCATCTTCTCAGACAATTTCAAGTCTTGTATCATAGCCAAACTCGTTGTTACCGGCGTCTTTTCACCTTCAGCAGACCCTACACTGAATGGCATGTATCAAAGTAGAGAGAGAAATAAAATAGTGTAACTGAATAGCGTATTTAGTGGCTTAAGGGCAGGAGGTAACCAAAATTAGATATTTTGCTATAAACATTAAAAGGTATCTATAAAATATAATTTTTTTTAAATAGTATTTATTTAAAATAAATAAGGTGTTAACCTTTGCCATAGGACGTAAAAATTCCATATAAGTACTACTTGTTGTTACTAGTCAAGTTGTCGATTACACGTGCAGTGCCGGCCCAAGGGTGAAGCCGCTTAAATAGTTGCTTTGGGCCTCATAATTTTTGGGCCCCAAAAATTTTCTAGTAAGTTATATATTAATTTATTTTTAAAAGAATATTTAGTGTTTTAAATGAGAAAGTGTAGATTTTCATAATATAAAAGTAAGATTAAATTATTGATCATAAATTGAGAAAAAACGTCTTTTTGGGAATCACTCTCTAGACCATAAATTGAGAAAGAATTCGATTATTAATTCATATATAACTCAAAAAAAGTTGAAACTATAATATACTCCCCCAATGTGCCATTGACAAATTTTTAGCAAACAATAAAAACCTTAAATTAGAAAGTATATCTCAAGAGAAATTAAATGACTTAAATTAAATTATTAATAACTCTGCATAAGAAAAACTAGAAATATAGAATTTAAGTGAAATTATTTTTTTCTTTTATATAAAAAAATAAGGCCTCTTATTGAAGTTTTGCTTTAGGCCTCGTGCTATTGAGTCTCCCTTGTGCACGTGGTCAGTGGCTGCCAACCACGAACTACCCTTTCATTCAAATATATATCAATAGAAACTATACTTTTTCTAGTTTTATTTACAGTTTGTTTGGATGGTTGTTACCTATTGATTCATAATATATCATATTATCATACTGTATTTTATTATACTGTATCATTTGATGAATACAATGTTTCGATAGATTATTTCGTTTGCCATCATTTAATGATGTCACGCACCATCAGTATGAAGAATAAACTTACAATATTATAAAGAAGTTATGATACAGGGTAAAATTACTATAAAAAAAGTAGGGTAAATGATAAAATAAAATTATTTAATAATAATGAAGGATGAGATTGAGAGAAAAGATACAGTAACAACGCGACCACACCAAATTGGTCATTACATAAAGTGATACATTTCAGTGTTACGTAACAATGGATTTAACGATATGATATAATAAAATTTAAGTAATAATCAAAACAAACATCGTATTTAAAGTAACAATACGGTACAATACAATATGTAACAACCATCCAAACAAGCTGTTAATAGTAGGAGAAAATAGATGTGCCATAGAGGGAAGATTTGTTGCTTTAAAACGGTCTGAGGATATCTTTTACCTTGTGTAACATTGTCCGCTTTAGATCAAGTTCCAATTCCTTATAAGCAGTTTTTTTTTTATTTTCTATTTGTCCCACGCCCAACAATTTTCCCTCTTGAACTAAGTTTCATATGACCTATTATCATTTATGGGCTAATTTGAAGATTACTATGTGTCACCCACATGATCTGAGTAATTTATGGTCACCAATAAGGCCTAGAGGAAAGGCTTTGTATGCATCTTTCAAGCTACAGATAATGATCATAAGCCCCGTAGACATGCAAAGGAACTAAGTCGACCCCCCATGCCACACTCTGCCATCTCCATAGTTCCGCCAAATTATTATTAACTTTGATACCAGTCGTTGGGCTAAAACAGTCTGAAGATATTCTTAACCTTGTGTTATACTTGTCACACCTCCTTTTTTTACTTACACCCTCGGAAGGATGTATATAGGAGTTTTCCCAATTAAAGGACAATCGAAACGAGATTATTGCAATTAAAG